GAAAATTCCTTGACAGGTGGGGGCGAATATTTTCACGAACACCACAGCAATTCAAGTTTCAACTAAATATATTGTATTTATTGTATTTTATGATTTAAAAATAAAAATTAAAAACATTAAATATTTACGTATTTTTATTATCAATCATAAAAATGCAATAAATATAATATATCCAGACATCCAGTTAGGTTGCTGTGGGAACGTTTCGTGAAAATATTCGCCCCCCTCCCCCTGTCAAGTAGCCACGAGGAATTTTCGCGAAGATTGCGCGTGACTTTCAAATGATTTGTTTTTATTCCTATACTGAATTTGTTGTGAGAGGTTTTTTCCTTCAAAGTGCAAGTAATTTTTTCAATTTAGGACTATTCTACAATGAAGTACTTTTGGATACTGTAATCTAAATACATATGAAGACGAAGAAGTGGCATTTATCGGGCAGAGAATCGGCGAGCCATTAAAATGGCGGCATATGGACGAAATATCGAAGGACACAATATCGAAGATAAAATACACTGCACTGCTCCAAAACTTGCCGAAACTTGGTTGAAATCTCCTTTAGCCATTTGTCATTATGTAAAAGTACAACAACTGGATTTTATTTGCGAGACACGGCGATATAAAGCAAACAAGACGGCAAAATATGGCTGAAATCGTGTTTTCGTGGGGGGTAAGTGAAATAAAATATATTATATTTATAGAAAACAGTGACTATCCTTATGAAAACTACAATAATTATATTAAATTAAGCATAGTTTTTCATCCCATGGTAATTTTTTTTAGGAAATAAGGTTATTTAATTTCTGCCATGTATATTAGTTATTTTCTGCATAATCAGCAATTTACCTGGGGTGATAAATGGTCATTTTCTTGTAAAATATTATACTTACACAAATTTTTCCTTCCAATAACCACCCCTAAAAGCACCCTTTTAAACACTATAAGCACTTCAGAAAGGCTGTCGCTTTTGCTTTTCGGAAGTTAGAGCTATGTCGGCACTGCCGTTTCAGGGCGGGGTCATTTTCAGGACTTTCGTCCAGGATTCAGGTTTTGGCACATATGCCATGTTGACCGCCATGGTCATTTTACCCTAAAACAGTTGAGATTACGTGTGGTAAATGAAACGCATACAAACTCATATACAGGTCCTAGACTAAAAACTAAACTGCCTTTATTGAAAACCTTTGAGTTTGAAATAAAATGATTTCAAATTCTCGCATTCAAACAACTTTGCTTTCTTTTTTATTTAATAAAAATTTAATATAATAAAAAAGGGTAATCAATAAAGAAACTCTGAAATTACACGCGTTTTTGATTAAAAATATACTCAGCGATCAGCTTTTAAAGCAATTATAAAGCGAAAAATACATCAATGTTTAAAACAAACCTACCTTTGTTAACGTCGGCGCCTTTAGGGGCCATTCATTATTTATGCCCAGGGCTGGGCTGGCAAAAAAAGTGGTGGGTCATGAGTTGTTTTTTACCGAAAAAGGGGGTCACCTGAAAATATTAGTTCAGAAGGGGGGGTCCAGTTATTTTATTGTAGTGGGGGGAAATTTGACATATGACGATTATTGCTAACGCAGGGAGCGACCAAGATAGCAAATTTAATTCATGTAGCTGGCAACATTCTCAATTTTAATCAACAGATAGGCCCAAAATGCAATGCGCAAATACCTAAAATGCATTGCGCGCAGCTAATATGCATTGGAGGAACTTAGCATGAGGCGATAGCTTCATAAACTAGCATCTTTTTACAGGATTGCTAACATGCTTACTCCCATGTACCTAATGTACTTAACCGAATTATTACGGCGCATGCAAAGAGAAATATCACAATTTTCTTTGAGATTTGATACTATGAATCTTTTGTTCCATCTACTATTAAACTTTGGAATGATCTCTTTTTAGATATTCGTAATTCACAATCAATTTTAATATTTGAAGCAAAGTTACGATTTCATTATTCTCCTTCGGAATATAATAAGTTATTTAATTTTTCTGCTACTAGAAGATTATATAGCTGTTTTGCATACTCGCCTTAGGCTGGGTCACTGTGCTCTAAACGACTATCTTTTTATGATTAATTGCAAAACATCACCAATATGTAGTTGTGGTATAGATTTGTTTGTTTGTTTGTTTGTTTGTTTGTTTGTTTGTTTGTTTGGTTGGTTGGTTGTTTGTTTGTTTGTTTGTTTGTTTATTTTTGTTTGTTTGTTTGTTTGTTTGTTTGTTTGTTTGTTTGTTTGTTTGTTTGTTTGTTTGTTTGTTTGTTTGTTTGTTTGTTTGTTTGTTTGTTTGTGCTATTGATATAGTGTTCCTTGAATTTTGAAACTTAGCATACTCAAATGTTTCTGGTATATTACCTATAGCTTGTCTACGGACGTTTTAAAATACTTAAACGTTTGTGACTTGGGGCCTTCGGTTTGTTTACTATATATTGTTTGTTTACCCATCTCTAGCCTGGCATAAATATACATGTAAGTGTTATTCAAACTGTTCTACCAACTGTTCTACCCTTACACACCAGCACGCATTAAAAGGCCAGTGTGAACGCCTGAGCAGGCGTCTTGTTTCAACACGGTTACCCTTTCAGAAGACAAGAATCGACAACTAATGCAAAAATCGTGATCGGATCACGAAGGCAAAAGAAAGTGACCACTGTGTTAGCCTGCTCACAGACGTTGTATAGTTCTTACGCCAAGCGACGAAATACTACCGTCTGCTTACCCGAGCTGCATATTCAATTCCCTCTGTTTTAGGAGCCAATCATCTGGCAGTGTTCAAAAAAGTTAGTGCCAATTGGAAGCCGCCTTATTGAGAGATTAGCTACTGGGGAAAGCCTTGCACATGCATTGGAATATATTGTTTGGGTTGAAACTTGGAATTTGTTTACTTGCGTGGATATAGTTTGGAAACTATAGCGTTGAACTTCACGATGTTTACGTAGAATAATATTGTGATCATCTTCTCGCATGTTCAGCAAACAATCGGTGTATATAAAGTGCTAAAGCAATGCAGTAGGCGAAATTTAAATTTTTGTTAACAATGACAAACAATCAATCGGGAAACTCGAGTATATCAGGATATGTCCAAATGTTGCTCTTGATACTTCCTATATGCCATGACTTCGACGAAAACTTCTAAAAGATTAATCTCTCATTGTCATGTAGAAAAGTATAGCCTAATTAGAGTATAAACGTTTCGAAGTTTGGGCGAATTGGAAAATTCATCACGGCGCAATTTTAATACAAGTTTCTCGAGTTTGTGTTGTGTTTACAGTTTACATTCAGAAGTGGTTGCTCAAACAGCAAATTAGTTTACTTTGAAGCTAATATTTCGCTTTCTAAGCCACAGTATTATATAAAATTTTCTATTCAAAATTCAACCGACGACTGCTTTCAAAATATATATTTATATTTATTCCGCTCCTAAATCAACTGACGTCACTTTCCAGAATTTGGAAGGTAAATTCTGATTGGTCGACGTAGCGGAATTCAGTTTGGCACTCGGGTAAGAACT